GAGTGCTTGTGGGTGGATTTCTCACAGCTGGCTCATGCCTGCACCTCTACTTCCCAACTACTTTGGATTCCCAGCCATTTGGATTGCAGAGTAAATGCAACACAGCGATGGTCTGCAAGATGTCCCATTATAAAGGGAAATCATTTAAGTAGGGAGGGGAGAGAAATTGCAGTGGTCTTGTTAGCATTTTTCTTGAGTCATTCTTTCTTGCTCCCATGGCCCTTGGCTTAATAGTGAGAAATGCTGAGCTAAAACACAGCTGCACACCTGACAACTTGAAGCCTGCTGGCCATTAATAGCTGTTTCTGATGCAATCGGAAACATGTCTGGAGCAGTAGACTTGTATTTAATTTCACATATATAAGTGGTTTTTTTTAAGCTGCGAAGCATGTAAAAATAGAAGAATCTTCTCTGGCATTAGGTTTAATTTGCTGGATTGAGTTGTAAGGCAGGTCAGCTTTGAGTTGGCTTAATTTAGCATGTCACGGTGAAGCAAACTGAGCCAGCTTAGATCATGAACATGTATAAAGGGACGATTACTAGAATGATGTGCTGTGTATCGGGAAGTTTACTTTATTTTTTTCTCCAAAAATGTTAGTTGATCATCTTGTTGGATTCCTGTCCTTTGTCCTCCTTGGCAGATGAGTGCTCCTTTCAAGTGAGCACTCACTGAATGCCAGAATTGGCATGAAAACCTCTGAGTCTTGGAGGAGAGGCAGGTTTAGAGAAAGTAATGAAGCCTGTTCCTCCAAGGAATTTCTGTCATTCTGGCTAAAAAACCCAATGCATATCACCCCTCTCTGTCCCCTGAGTTAACCAGCAGATGGGATCCAAGCAATACGAGTACCGCACTGGACACAGAAAGCTGGGCAGATATGTTAAAGAAGAAACGCTTGCCGCTTCTGTATGTTGTTGTACAGGAGAAAAGAGCTGGAGAGGTGTCTTCAATGCAGCTGTGTGGAGTGCTGAATTCTGTGCTTCATGAAAAAACACCTCTTGTTTGGATCCTTCTGCCCTGCATTGGCTGATCTGGTGGCCCTGAAGCTGCCAGGCCTGCCGCGCAGCGACAAGGAGAGGGAGAAGCAATACTTGCTGCTGCGCCGAGTGTTGTAGAATTCAGTAACTCATTTTTCGGCATGGATGTATGTTTTACTTTGAGCAGTCAAAGTTCAGGAACAGGGATGCTGTAAAATAAGCAGAAGACTTGAAATGTTTGTTTTTTTTTTTAATCAAAAATCCAAGGTTGCATACTTGGTGCAAACTATTCTTCAGCATGACATGATACAGCTTTGTAGTACAGCTGTTTATGATTTGACTTTTTTTAATCTGTCATTAAAATGCCTAATCCTTCCCCCCAGTTTTTAAAAGTGCCTTATTTGGGCTTCTTTGGGTTGTTGGTTTTTCTGATGTTAAATAACAGTTACAGCTTTATCTGAACTTAGTTCCTGTCATTCTTCCTGATGCTGACCGTGACATGCATGAATTCTTCATGCACGTTTTCTCTGCCTGCTTTCTGTCTGCTTTCTTCATAACAATATACATAAGAGACAAAGTACTAAATGTGTTTTAAATGCTGACAAAACTTCCATGTTTTCCATGGCCAGCAACAATTGTGTTTCTAGGGTGGTGGAATCGTGACAGCTGTATTTGAAGTTGCTCTCCGCTTCTGTTTATAAGACTGTGTTTTCAGTTGCTTATGGTTGTGGCGGACTTGTGCTATTTGGGCTGAAATTTCCATCCTCAGCAGAGAAGAGGGCAGCTGAGTAAGGATTAGAGTATCTCAAATAGTTCAGTAATTAGTAATTATTTCCACATTGTGTGAACAGTGTCTGTCTTTCATAAGCTGCACTGTAGACTAGATGTGGTGGATGTGCTTGGCAAATCAAAATTTTTGATGTGGATTAATTCAGGACCAGCCATGAGCTGCTCCCGCTTTTGTTTTGTTCTGGATTCCAGTAGAAACTTCCTCTGCTATTAGAGAGTTAGCTCTCCCAAAAGTGAGAGGTAGCCCTATAGTCTCTGTAGATTCATCATCACTTTGCTTTCAGAAAGTGTATTGTTCATGTGTTTCCTTCTGCCACATGTGCTGGGCTTTCATTTTTAGCCTCTTCTGCTTCAGGTAAAGGAAAATCGTTTTGAACAGTTCCTTCAGAAACAGCCATCTTAAATAGGTCGTCTTGTGTGCAGACTTCACTGTCATTCCCTACTGCTTTGACATGTAGACTAAAGCCCAGTACACACCACCTCCAAGTATGGGCTGTTCTTCCAAGGAGCCTCCTCTCCGGAGTGTTGAACTACACTGTATTTCCATGCATTGTTACTTTGGGCAGCACCTGCTGAGCACTGCGGGCATTCCTTTCCTTCTTTAAAATCTTTGTAATGATCAATTTAGGTGAGCCAAATCTTCTTGGATGTCTGTGCTTTTGACCTTGCATCTTCAGGGCTTCTGCTAGCCTTGGTCAGCGAAGTTCCCCCAACACAGACCCCAGCTTGGCCCGGGGATGGGTTTCACCCTTATCTTCTGCTTCCTGCCTCAGCAGGCACTTGTGTTCCT